TGCTTCATTGTGTTCAATTGAAATTCCATTACGTATATTTCAAAGGACTGAGACCGGATGTCCGGTCTGCAGGCTTACTGGGCTTTGTAACAAATCCCACTTGGAAAGATTTATTCGAATGCACGATGCAGATGAGAATTCGCTTTTAAATTAACTTATCGCTGTAGATTAGTAAGATATTATATATTATAAAAATAAAATTTCCCGCGAATACCAAAGACATGACATATTAATCATGAGGTAACGTCAAAATGGAAAAAGATGGCGGTTATAACGTATAAAACCTAAAATGGTGTCATTTAAAGAAGTAAGATAATTTATTTAATTTAATATATTAATTAGTAGTTTATTTGTTTATGTTAGAAAAATTACCTGGCTTACAATAATTAAACAGGTACTATGCCCGAGAATAGTAGAAATATGTTTATTGATTACTTCAGTTTTATAAGACGTAGTCTCGCTATCCATTAAGCTTGAGTTATACTTGATTGTTATATAAGAAAAATAAAACTTAAACACTTTAACGGTTTAAAACGCGATACATAATAGTTAAACTTATTTGGAAATTATTTTAACTACGGCCGACGTTTTGAATTCTTTGCAGCAGCCGTGGTCTCCCGTGAATATAAATCGCGTTTAAAACTGTTAGTGTTTTATTTAAATGTTACTCGTTTTACTCGTGTAAACTACAGACAATAGTTATCTAAGGGTACCTACACAAATCTCAGTTAATTATAATACATGAATAAAGTCGTTGGTGCAATGAACAAATCGTGGGCTTGGTTTCCAACGAGTCCAGCTATTTAAAAAAAAATTTTTTAACACATTTATTTATGATCATTGTCTGGAAAATCTGAAAAGATAGGGTTCGTCAACTCCGTCCACAGATGATATCAGCCTTTTTATTCAACCCAATGTTTAATGAATCCAAAAAATGTATTCATTAAATAAGGAGTGTCTTAATAGTAATATTTTAATATATTAAAATGCTTATTCCATTAAGAAGTACGTGTAACACATTAAGTTTAATATTTGTATGTTCCATTGTCGGATTTGTAAATTGAAAGAACTTTTGTATACAGATCACGTTTTCAGGATATTATTCGGTTATACCATTCTAAATAAAAGAAGATAACGGTTTCGAAGTTTTCCGAAAAAATATATATGTACATTTAAATAAAACACTTTAACGGTTTAAAACGCGATATATTAGTTAAACTTATTTGAAAATCGATTTTTAACTTCGGCCCGACATTTTCAAATAAGTTTAAACTAATATTTTGCGTTTTAAACCGTTAAAGTGTTTTATTTAAATGTGTACTACTCGCGTAAACTATAGACAGTCTTTAAATATATACATCTTATAAAGTTCCTGACTTTCCTTAAAATAGTAAAACTTATACATACTATCTATTAATTTATTTGACAATTGACAGATATCGATATTAGAAATTATATAATATATTTATATACCAAACGATAAATATTCTTCTTTTTATAAGCAACACGTGAGATCTATTTTAGATAAAAAATTTCAATTCATTGTTGCGTATCAGTACTGCTGTGACATAATATATTAAATGTAATTAATTAAACACTTTTAATCAAAATCCACTATTATATTAGTAATAAAATTATCACATTTATTTACATTTCTATATGAATAAAAATAAAAAAAAATCCTGGCAGCGGTGGGATTCGAACCCACGCCTCCGAAGAGACTGGTGCCTTAAACCAGCGCCTTAGACCGCTCGGCCACGCTACCCTGTACCTATGAAAATGAAATAGCTCTATATGACGAAAGTAGTACATTATAAAAAAAATAAACATATTTTTAATTTCATGCGTGTGCGTGGTGCCTTGTACCCATCCAACTTATCTTATCACAATATGATAGTTAAGTAGAGAGATACGAAATAAAAAATATAATATATATGTAGAAATTACTAAGCTTAAATATAGACAACTTTGTTAAACCACGATCGCTTCCAAGTTCGAAGCAAACATGCATAGCACATGTTTCCAATATTACAACTTCGCAAAGTGTAACTAGCTAGTATATTTCCGCCAATGCCAACGAAATTCTTGCCACTTCAATAACTTAATGTTTACTGTCTCAAAACTAATTCAAAACGTGTTAAGGAATATATAATTTTAGAGAAAAAGACACAAGGTTTTTTTAACTGTAAAACCTTTAGTTAAATAAAAACTTTCACGTAGCTAAATGGAAAGAGAACACCAATTATTATTTTTTTTTTAATAAAGAATCTTTACAGGGACGGGTGTTTATATTATTACTTTAGATATTAACAATTTTTACATAGTATTTTATTTTTGAAAATTTTAAAAATATTTTTGGGGTTTTCAATATTTAGTGTTAATATATGTTAAAAATTTATAGAAAAAAGGGATAATTTATTTAAATAAGCGTTTTATTGTTAATTAATTTAAAATAATTGTTATCTAAATACATACAAAGACATGTTCGCAAAATGTCTGTTACATTAAATTTTGAAGCATTCACGCTTCAAACACAAAAGACGTATCAAATATCTCATAACTAGGCCAAGAGGACTTAGAAAGATCCTTTGAAATGCTTAAAGGTATTACCCACCATCAATTGTTTGCATATACCCCGGCACTTCCCGGGAAAAAGGCTCCCACTTAAGTGTACTCCATCGTACACAAATGATATCATCGCTCACTGCATTAAGAAAAAAATAACATGACATGAATGATATACGAAGCAAATTTCATCCGTTGTCACTACAAGAACATAATATCCTAATTCACTACACTACACAGAAAAAAACATGATTTTGAACAAGGAGGAAAATAAAAATGCGCAATTAACTTAGGCGAAAATGACTTCGTGTTATTAATTGTGTAATTATTATATTAACAAAGTTTGGACGCTATGCTCTGGTAGATTAAGTTTTTAGACTATGAAAATATAAATACGGTAATCATAAAATTTCTCTACTCTTCCCCTAGCGGCCTCGAATACACAAATTGTTTTTAAAAGAGCGTATATAGATTGATGCAAAGCTCGACAGAAACATGGAAATTATTAAATATTGAATTTGGAAGCCACAGATACTGACTCCGTAACGCGTTACGTAACGAAGTTTTGACCTCAAGAATGTATCACAAAGAGCGAAATTGTATTGCCTAGGTATGTATATTTAAGACTGAATGTCTGTCTAATTAATTATTGATTTTAATATACTGGTATATACCTAGTTGATTAAATTCCTGTGCGTCGTAATTTCGTAGGAAAACATTGTAAACTAAGAAAACGCACCTGTAAGTCCGAGGGTCGACTTTCTAGGTCTATTTAATCAAAGGCAATAAAAGAATAAATAATGAGAAAACTTTACTCGCAACAATTTGCTACACCGTGGATACAACTCGCACACACACAGTGCCTTATGTGTGTACATGCAGTCCCTGGCCCAGACGGCGAGCCCGCTACGAGAAAGGGATAGCGAGTGGTTTCTATGCGTTAAAAGAGTACAACCGAGTGATATTGACCTTCCGAACCGTGACGTCATTCGCGACCTACCTGCAGCTAGCGTGGGTGTGTGTGAACCAGACCCTGAAACTTCAGCGTGTGCGTAGTTCCGTTTCCCAGACGTTTATGATGAAATATTTGAGTGTGTGCGCTGTCTCCATGCTCACGATAATGCAACAGGAATTTAATATTTTTCATCCACTTAGAAATAAGAGCTGGCTATGCATTTTACACGTAGACACTCTTATTACAAAACGTTGGTACAGACCAATAAAACGACTAGGATTATTAAAAGTATTTATTTTAAAATAATAATTGTGACAGACCTTAACATTTTAGAATGACTATCAGACAGTAAAAATATATAGCTATAACTAACCCAACGATGTTGGCAATAATATAAATTGAGCACAGCGATTTAATTAATTATAAAATGCCAATTTATCAAAGTTAAGTAATAAAACATTGTAGAATAATTGTGTGTCATTATAATCACTTTTTCATAAGTATCATATTATAATAAAATTGTGATTGTAAATATAGTACTAGTAAAAGTATCTCACTTTTACTTACTTTGACACCTAAGATTATAAAAATATATTCCTAATTAGTCTATCTATAGTAACGTAATTACGTTTCATAATTCCTTTTATCGCTCTATCACAAACGTAAGTAAGTAGCTAGGTATTACCAACTCCAGAAATTGTTTAATAAACGTAAAATTCCTTACTTTAAGCAATTTAGTGCTTATTTATTTATATACAGTATTCAAAACTAACCTTAACAATATTAACAATTGTGTAAAAATATTATTGCAACTAATTTATGGCATTTATTTTCATTAAAAAAATCATGAAAACATGCTTTTAATTATAATTTGTAGTTCTTAAATCGATATTATTATATATTACGTAATAAAATTAAGATAGACGTTTGTTTATCAACGGTGAAATTATTTTTCCATTTTTATTGTTGGTCTTTAACATACAATTTAAAACAGCGCCATCTAGTAATGAGAAAATGAAAGTACCATTTTCCGGATATATTCAGAATAAGCCAACTATTTTGAATTTGAAATGTATAAAACTTTGCTAAAAACGATAAATCCTGAAACAGTAACGTAAATAAAGCGCTTTTCAACCTTTTCAGCTTCGGGAATTATTATTTTATCTATTAGCACAACCTTCAACACTATCCATAGGGAATGTAACATTGAACTAATCACTAAGACGAAGGCCACTTATTAATAAGCGTTAGACATTAGAATAATATTGTTTCTGTTATATTTATTCTATCTGTGCTACGGTCATTGCTTTTGTAATATTTTTATTTCATCTGTGGTACGGCCATTGCTTTTATATTATTTTTTTTATTTACGGCCAGTTCGAACTTAACTTGTAAGATAATTCGAAATTCAATCAGAGCATTTAAGTAGTTTAATAAAACGGCTGTGTTTGTGTTTAATATAAATAAGCAAAAAGGATTTTCAAGAACAAGCCTCACATCTTACGAGGCCGACTTCATCACAGTTCATGCACTTCAAAGCAACAAATTCAGCAGTAAAATGGTTTCTATGAAGGCTCTTTTTAGATCCGTTGCAAATACGACACGGAAGAAGACGGAAACCGCCACACATTTGACAGGTGTTGCACGCGTCAGGACTCTGGAATAAAAAGGTATCGTTGTATTAAACTAAATTGAACTATGAAGTTATTTTAAATCCTTTTTTTTCTTATTATTATAAAGGGGGATAGACAAGCATGAGGTCACCAGTCACCAAGATATACAAGTCACAACACACACACTATCTATTTAATATTCAGATTTTGGAAACGAAATCGTGTTACAAAAAAACATAATAGGTAATCGAACCAATGAAGTGTCTATTATTATTAGCAGTACAAATACGTAATTAAAATTCTATATCAATGCAAAAATAACATCAGCTTGGCTGTGCCTCGTTCAAGTACAAACATCGGTTTTGAATAAGCAAAATATTTGAACAAATGGTTTTCAATCGGTGCGAGGTTGTTTGTGTTTCGCCATCGAATGTTTGTACCAATAAGAGTAAAACGGTTTTATGTTGGTATTATTGCTTTGATTTTAAAGCGACAGGTCAATTTAATTAGTGCGTATTGACGAGTGTCCATATGTAGACTTAATATAAACAGTAGGAATTTATTTTGTATTTTAGCAGGTGTTGGCAAACTAGTATATAAGATAGATTATTATGATCGAAATATATAAGACAGTTAACTCCGTATAATAATAATTTATATAAAATATGATATATCGAGGCCATAGAAAAGTAATGTTAAATAAAAAAGCGAATAAAACACTTTTTAACGGGTTAAATGCGAATGTATCTACATATATTATTATTATTTGTGTCCCTAATGTCAAAGTCGAATTGGCTATGCCAGCGCCGCCTTGCGTCAACTTTTCATTAAGGACACCATCTTTAGCCCGTCGTAATAATATATTTGACGTTTTAAACGGTAAAAAGTGGTTTATTGAAATATGGAGAATAATAGCTTAAACATTGTAAGAAGTTGGCAATCCTTTTTAAAACAAATAAATCTATCTAAACACAACCATGACTGATGATTTCACTATCATTTCATAGTAAACAACAGCGTGTACGCACCCTTACATAATCTATACGCTTATAGTACGGCCTATACTCGTTTACACAGATACAATAGTGAGGCCATAATTGACTAAGAATCAATTTCATGTGCACACAAACCAACCTTGTGTCAACATCTAATGTTTGAACGATTATTCGGAATTTTTATAACTGCTCGGAAAAAAGGATGGTTACTGGGCCGTGAGAACTAATAGAAAATTTAAAATTCGGGTGTTGAGTTCGATTCCCACTAGATCTAACAAGCACGCAATAAATTTATAATAATTTTCTGAAACATCTTAAACTTTTTATAGAAATCTGGATCTTAAGTGAGTTGTAAAGTAGGATATTCTTACCTTGTACGGTTTCAGCATTTTTCTCAGTTCGCCGCTCTCGTTCAGTTTTTCAACAGTGTCTGCGTCCTGAAAATAAAACAAAATATATATTAACATGTATTGTTTTAATTGCGTTTAACAATAAAGATCCCTTTATATTATGTTTATCTACCTACAAATCTTAACGCTTAAGGACATCAATAGCAAAAAAAGATTTATCAAGATAACTGCAGTAATTTTACAGTAAAGATATCAAATATTTGTGTTTTGTGTGGAGAAATTAATTTGTAAGTATGCACCTGTTTTACCCTACATGATGCAGACACATTTATATGTCAATTTTACTAATAGTTTTAATTTTTGGGTAAGTAGTTAAAAATCGTTTTAAGATTTAAAAAAAATAAGACACGGCTGTAACTTGAACCGGCATCTATAGCGTTCCGTGCTGTTCCTATAACCAATTGAGCTACCGTGTCCTACACGTCATCGTCTATCTTTTTAAATCTATTGGAATAGATGCACCTTTCGCGTAGCGCAAGCAGCTTATCAGACATCTGTTTCTGTTTAACTCATACGAAGCCAGGATCTCTTGTGATGCAATACTAAATGCGTTAACTGTGCAACTCTTTGAATTAAATTATGTATCGTTCACAAAATGTCAGCGAACTCCAAAAGCACCCACTTCGTAAACACTCCTGCCCTTACATCGATCGTTATTTTTCTACACAATATTTACCCTTCTCGCAAACAGTCCTTAATTTTCATTTTTATTTTCACCTTTCTATAAGAGCAGGGTCTATATTGGATTAGTATCGCTTTACGCCATAAATGCGGGTCGAACCCTTTTAATTTTATGAGTATGTCTGTAAAACCATCGCAACGAAGGAAGTATCGGTCACTGACACGTTTTATACTTACTGTTTTATGACTTAAAAATCTATTTATTAGAACAATTTCCCGACACTAATTAAGCTACCGCGAGTGTTGACACGGTAGCTCAATTGGTTAAAGGAACAGCACGGAACGTCGTGGAAGCCGGTTCAAGTCTCTCTCGTATCGTGTATTTCTAATCTAAATAGATTTCTAATTAATATAATGTGCAAGAACATGTGAAAATATTAAAGTTTTTAAATGTTTTACAACTTCTATAAGAAAACGTATATTATAAGAAATTATCTTACGAGCTACCAAAATTATGTAAACTGTTTTTACGCTTAAAAATGAAAATTTACTTAATAAGCCAACGAAAAAAGGAAAATAGGTACTAAACAACAAAGAATTCAAAATTTGAAAAATTCTTAGGTGTTTTATTTAAAGTACTTTGTCGTCCATTTATAAGCTTAGGTTTTCAAACTGAAACCATTTCATAATTACGACGGAATTGCTGAAAGATGATGGAAATAAAAAATAAGATGGCCATTACTAAATCTTAGAGCAAAATTTAATATCGTTATGTAATATGTGAATAGATTCAGAAAAGATCCGGGCAAAGGAATGTCAAATAAATGTGCTAAAGGGGAATTTTAAACATTTTAAAGGTAAAATTATTAAATGTGAAAACATTGTTGTGTATTGCCCTGGAGCAGTCCCGTGGGGTTGTCTATCCTAGACTTGTATATTGTTACGCAATACAATAGCATTGGATGAATATATGAATCGTTAATTTGGATGTACATATTGTAAATAATCTAGTACATCATTTATTTATTTATTTATCATAAAAATTATAATTTGGGGCGGCTTGAAGAATGTACAAATTAATAGGTTTTATACACTTAATTATTTCTATTCTTATATTTAAAATTTTAAATTAAAATTGATATAAATGATGTCAAATTTGTCCTTAAGACACAATAAACTATGTTCGGTAATTGTGATTTTCCGAATATAAAAAATAGGCACATTTTTCTCCTTAAAATAAATAAATTTGGTTAAAATATATTTGCGCTGTTGTTAAATATTTTAATATAAACTTTAGTAAATACTGTCTATAGTTTACGCGAGTAGTACACATTTAAATAAAACACTTTAACGGTTTAAAACGCGATATATTAGTTACTAATATATCGCGTTTTAAACAGTTAAAGTGATTTATTTAAATAAACTTTAGTACTTATTTATACTAAAGGCGAAAGAACTTCACACGCTGTACCTATGAACTGTGAACACTACAACTCGTGCGGAAGTTCAACGCTCCTATAAAAGTAAAAGGATTTTTATTATTATTTGCTTTTAATAGTATCATTTACATCAAAATTTTACGTTCATATGACTAAGCAGTTTCTATTTTTTTCTTTCTTTTTTCTTCTTTTTCATTTCGAAACGGACGGTATAATGTAACAAACGTTGAAATTTTATATTCAACCGTATGTTTTGCTATAAACTTGGTATTTAAATAAAACACTTTAACGGTTTAAAACGCGAAATATATTGGTTAAACTTTGTTTGCTAATTATTTTAAACAACGGCCCGACGTTTGCTTTACTATACATATTTCGCGTTATACTCGACCCGAGATTTAAACCGGAGACCAACAAATATTGTTTAACGTTACTTTTTTTTTATTATCAGATGCACTAACCGATAGACCAACGCGAACGAGGTCGCTAAATCTCAATTTGACAAAACGATAAATGTGGGTACTTAAAGAGAAATTCAATACGACATGAATAGTATTTCTTTTGCAATACCTGTATGTGAAAAAACTTATGACCTTAGCTGTCGCAATTTAATTAGATTCGATGAGCATGAAGGTCTTCATGAGGTTTGGTAATTGGTTATGAAAGAGCAACCAGTCATTAGACGTGGGAAAATATCATCTTAATTAATCACGGCGTGCTTTGAAGCTTTTACTGTACGCATATACCTTTCATAATCTCGACTAGTCTTTGTAGGGTATGAGTAGTGCTAAGAATGTTGTAACATTTAATTTTACTAGCTGCAACTCTCTATTTGTTTTCTTTGCACCAATTGGTCGAAGAATTTTTTAATTCGAACCAGTAGTTCCAGGTTAGCGCATTCAAACAAACAAACTCTTCAGCTTTATATATTAGTATAGATTATAGTACGCAAAAAAAGAATCCGTGCAGATGAGTAGTAGAGTCCCTTTCAGATCTCTGGCGCTCGATGCATTGTTAGGTTATCTGTTTTGGAGTTCCGACGGGTACTATACGTAAGAACTAACAATAAACTAAACTTTCTTTCAATCAAACGCTTATAAAAATATTATAATGAAATTTATACAGTCATAGAATGTTATATTTAACTATCTGGTACATAAAGCAGTGTATCCTTCAACAAAAGTGAACATTATTATAATACCTATTCAATGTGATTCAATCTAACAAAAACAAATTACTGTCTAAACGACCATTGCAAAATAGTGTTTAGACCTCCTAATATTGAGGTGACAAATCAATTTAGTTACAGGCAGAGCACAACTAATATGTATCAATTATAGTCTGTGGCTAATGGGCAAACAAATCACTTAATGTCTACCACAAACAATGCTACAGGCGTGCAGGCGTACTATACAGTAGTTCACGGTCGCGTGCAAGGCACGTGGATCCAGACGAGGTTATGCAACAGGTATTAAGTAGTTCAAATACAAAATCATGAATGCCGTTGGTGGGCTGTTTTCAACGTTAATAAAATATAAGGCGTAAATATTGGGTCTACACTCTACACGACATTATGTTGACGCGAAGACAACTTTGGAATACAGAGAACTCAAATGACAAACACTATTGATTTTGCATCAATAGTGATCAAAGATAAGACAAAGACTGATAAGAAACTTAACAACAGATATGTTTCAAACTTTTATTAATAAATTGAACGAAACAACATAATGAGATAGCGAGAAACAACCTATCACATTTTCACCTATGGCTTAGATATTTAATTTTTATAAATCACTGTGACAAATAACGACAGCGAATGAACGTTTCAGGTGAATTTCCACAAGCAAATTTAAGATGTAAATAAAACAAACTGATGTCTAAGTAACTTGTTGGGAGGTAAAAAGCACAAAGGAATGTATAATAAGGCAACTTTTTCATTGCTGTTAAAACTAATCAATATAATTTACCAAAATTTAAGTGGAGGACATTGGAGGATAATGGATATTATATATTTCTGCTTTTTTTCGTTTTTTTTTTTTTTAATTATAATAGCATATGACGTTGTTTTGTGAACAATATTTTTGTAAATATATATTTTTTTGCATAAAGCTATCCAGATGTTGGAACGTTTGAAATCTGTAGGTATCGTACAAATAGTCTATTCTACAGAACTTCTATCCACCTTGTTACCTAGTTTGAACTGTTCACTTTGTATTCCATTTGTTTCTAGACACGTTGAAAATTATCTATTAAGCAAATATATCCTTTATTATTTTTAAAGAAGTCACAGAAGTGCATAAAAACTTCCTTCAAATGTCTTTTTTTTTCTATAAATCTTAAATTTATTTTCTCAGTTATATTTCAAAATGGAGTAATTAATGTATGTGTGCATTTAATTTATTTATATAGATATCATTTATATTTGTGCTTATGCAAAACTACTAGATTCATTTGTATAAAGTTTAGTACGCGAACTAAACACCTCAAATATTAATTTTTAACTATGAATAAACGACATTTCGTAGTTTACAGTTATAATTCACTTTTTAAAGTATAAACAATATTTAGGATCATTTAATTAAAAATAACGTTCGCGTTACTACTAAACTACAGAAATTGTCTAATAATTTTCTTTTAATAAGTCATTCCTTTTCCTGTAGTTTCGCATGCATATAGTTTGTAAACGCCACGAAAAGTTTTAAAACACCGATTCCAAATAAGTACTAAAATACTACTTTGTAAAGGCCATTGAAGATATGTGTAATGTAACGTGTTTAAACTACTGTACTGGAAGAAGATAGGGCATGTATAATACATTTGTAATGCTACCAAATGTATGCATGTTTTTACTAGATTCTCTCGAAAATTGATTATTTATTCTTAACTACGGGTGTTAAACAGAGTTTATATATTTAAACGACTTAATATTATTTCAATTAGAAGTAAACGAGTAACAAAGTAAATGCCAAATTTTAAACTTTACAAAATATTTGACTTATCCACGAGTTATTTAGGTAATCTTGATAATTTTAGTCCATAGATTAGATGCTTTATCTTTTTGTTATTTGTTGACACAGAGGAGTACGAAGCATAAAGTATTTTTATGGAGAATTAAAAAAAAGAATTGGCAATTTTATAATATAAATAAAACATATTATGGTGAACTTTGGCTCTCCAAAGTTCACCATAATGTAAACTGAAAAAAAAGGTTAAATACTGAAAGTATTTTTTTGTTTAAAGAAAAATAATGGTAGATAATATGCAATGCGATATTTTTCTTTACTCAGTAACAGAATATGAAAACTTTTAAAATCAGGGTTCCAAATTTTTAATTATAAATTTATCTTAGAACCAAGTTTTTTGTAGATTAATACAAAAGTCGTTTAAGACTTCAGTTTTTAAAGATTGCAATACGATCAGGGACTAATGTTTATCGTATTATTCTCTTTACTTATATTTTTACATCATTGTCTAGCATTCTGGGTTCAAGTCATGGATAGGTCAAACGGGGAAAAAAGCTTTAGTCAATTAGGGCAGAGGAACTTGACATAATATGATATATGTCTGTATATAAAATCAATATGTCATTATGTCGTCCTCATGCTTCATATGAAATCTGTATGTGTAACTTGAATGTATATAGATAAAGTTTTTTAACTGCACTATATTTCATATTGTTTTTAGAGAAGGGTTGAAATGAAGGGGGTACACTTGACGGAAGGCGAAACGATAGAAGATATTTATTTTAAGTTAAATTACTATTTATTTAAATAAAACACTTTAACGGTTTAAAGCGCGATATATTAGTTAAACTTATTTGAAAATGATTTTTAACTTTGGCCCGAGGTTTCGGATGCTTTGCAGCAGCCGTGGTCACGAGGAGACATCAACTAACACAATTATTAATATATCACGTTTTAAACCGTTAAAGTGTTTTATTTAAATGTGTACAACTCGCGTAAACTATAGACAGTATTTAAATTACTATTGTTAAAGTTAAGTGTACCTACGTTTAAAGCTTTTACGAGGAGCATTATTTTAAAGCAGCATTCCCTAGTTGCAAGCTTTTAAAGCTTAATTGCACGTGTCTTCGATTAAGCTGCGTCTAAAACTAGCTAAAATGTTGTCAAGTTATCGATGGGTTTTAAGTGCACCGCCTATTAGGAAATTACGGGTTCAGTTTGACGTAATGTCAATATAAAGCCATTTATGTCAACGCGTATTGCGTATTTAAAATCCCCTACGTGAAGAAAGACATATTTCTGTGTCTGTTCTACTGTTCTGTTTATTTTAAAGCAGCTGTGAAATAGTAGTGCGCGTTTAACTAATACATTCCGATATTGTTTTCAAACTGATTTATGTAAAATTGTTACGTGAATATTTTTATCAACTCACCCCAATATGATATCCATCTACGAAAAGCTGTGGCACTAGAATCTGGTCACTCTTCATTCTATCCCTGATCTCGTCCTGGTACTCCATGCTCATGAACACATCCCGTTCTTCAAATTTCACCAGCAGATTCCGGAGTATCTTCTTCACAAGGACACAGCGCTGGTAGGTACTTCTCACTATGCCCATTGTGGTGGTATACACCACAACTTTACCCGCGTCCTTTTCTTTGTAACTCTGAAATAACATTATTTCTATTTATTTTAATTTAAAAATTGAGATATTCCAGGCACAGTTATAACTAATTATTTGATTGTTGCTTTTAAATAATAATCGAGATTTTGAAACAATGCAGTGAAGTCATATAATAAAAATAATTTAACTCGAATATTTCTTTACATTATTTTTCATCGAAATAAATTCTAATTGTATTTAAACGCCATCTGTGGACGTATTATTAAAACTAACAAATCTGAATTCTATAGCTACAAAGAATTTGAAATGCAATGTAGATTGTGTAGTTTACTCGAGATGGCGTTGTTATTAATTATGTATCTCTTACGTTTAGATTATGATTTATTTCCTTTATATTCATTTCATTGCACTCGTTGATAATCTTTATTAGCTATGTGACAGATAGATAAAATGGTTAAATTATAAACATCGTGTTAGTTCTCTAAGATTAACAACTTCCTTACAGTGTAATAACTAAATAGTGATTGTATATAACAGCATTTACTGTCAATATAACAATATGTAAAACAGCCTACGAGCCGAGTCTTAGACAGTTATGTGACCAAGTAAATAGTTGTGTTGATTGTCAGGTGACAAAACGCCTATAGAGTTGAGTTACTGTCAACAAATTCACACCTATTACCAACATATTGCGTACTCATCTCCGTCGTTTGCACAATTCCTTTCAAAGGTGTTCTAGAAATAGTAGCAGGAAACGTGAACAAAAATAATTTACTTTTCTTAAACTGAATTTTTTTATAAACTAGTCAAAAGTAAGCTTAAAATCACACGAATTATACAAAAATTTGAAGGAAATCAAAGGTTTTCATCTTGCATGCATGTATAAAACTAAGTACTGTATAGATTCAAAAGTAGTGTCATGAAATTCGTAGTATACATAAAATATATAGTAACTAAATATTTTCTGTAGTTTATGCTAGTGCCACATATTAAAACCAGTGGCGTAGCTATCGTAGGGCCAGGTGGTGTAGCGCACCAGGGCCGCGGAATTATCTTTGAGAAGATACAAGCGTACAAGAAAATGATTTTTAACGATCTTGTTGCTATTTATAATCTATTTTTTGCTTTGGATATTCGGAAATCCACAGACTGAAACCGAAACGCGATTTAACTTCATGGCTTTTTCATTTGTAGATGGTGGTTCGTGACCCGGAAGGAACGTCGATATTCCTAATATCCTACCACCAAAGTTAGTAGTCTAACGTCCCTTATCATTAAAAATGAAATCCAACAAAAGCTATAAAAAATTTTCAGTGCTAAGAATGCCTGCAGACTTAGTCATCGATTTCTTCAATAAACAGAGGCGACGCTCGTACCTCGCATTTCTCTACATAACTGTTAGTACCGGTCTTATACCGACCTTGCGAGGCTAACCACTTAGTCGGTGAGGGAAAGTGCATGCGCGCCTACTTTGAAGCCGGTGTTTTCGATAATTGTGAGAGAGAATTGTTGGTTTATCTATAATAATAAAGTTGAAGAGTTTGTCTTCAACTTCATATATTAGTATAGCTTTAGGTGCGTGATCTTAAGATTAACTGGCCAGAACGACGCAACGAAAGCATTCGACTTTGTGGGTAACAGTCTTTTTATCTAGCAAAGGAGGTTGTACGTAAAAATAAATTTTGCCCAAAATAGGTATTCCTAGCTAGTTTTATTATTCAGTCAGTCTTTTGTGGAAATTCATAGTCAGTCTATAATCAAAATAAGAGATTTAATATGTATATATTTTGTGACATGAACATACAATAAATATATTATATACCTAATACTTGTATAAACGTTAAAGAATGCGGTCAAGCTAGACAAGAGGATTAGGAATAATTTAAAACCTAGCTTTAGCGATAGTAGAATTTACAATTAGGCCCATCTCAGTTATAATATCGTAATATTTTAAGCGGGCCATTAATTCCCTTGTCACACAGAGCGAATAATATCGCTTTTTATATGTTAATTTCTATTCATAAAATATACGATACCTTGAAAAGGTTCGCATAATCCAACTGTGGCTTATTCAATGTCTATTGTGAATATAAATTTGTAGGAATTTATCGAACGAGTATATTAACATATTCTGTATTTATTGAGAATGCGTAAACGATAATTCTAGCGAAAATATCTTTATTAAACAACACTATTATTGATTATAATATGGGTTTTAATGAATTACTCTGACGGGCTCATTGGTATGATGGTAACAATGTATGGCTCATAATCAACGTCCCGGGTTTTTAATTTTTCTGAAACATGTTCGACTTCGTCTAGAAATCTGGATATTAAATGAGTAGGAATGTCCTAATTCCGTCCGGGTAACGAACCACTACACATGAAAAAGGCGTCAAATGTAATCGTGTTCCGGTTTTAGTCCGTGGGTTTCCGGATATCCAAATCCAAAATAGGTCGACAGAATATCTTGTTTAGATTTATTCTTCCTACTGTACTTATTTAAATTAGGACTAATATAAGAATCGTCTTTAGTTTACGCCAGTAGTACACATTTAAATAAAACATTTTCAACGGTTTAGCAAAGTTTATCCGTCAATTTATTTACAGTGTGTTTTATCTACGGTCCGACTTTTTAGATGCTTTGCAGCAGCCGTGGTCACAGATTAATTTGTTTCCACATGGTTAATAAATACTGTCTGTTGTTTACGCAAGTAGTTTTAATACACATTTATATAAAACATTTTAACGGTTTAAAACGCGGCCAGCTTCGTCAATTACCAACTTCGACATAGGAGATGGCGATACTTTGACGACAGAGACACTTTCCCCCCGTGACCTTTAGTCACTTTTAGTCCCCCGTGACCACGGCTGCTGCAAATCATCCGAAACATCGGACCGTAGTTAAAATCATTTTCAAATAAGTTTAACTGATATATATCGCCTTTTAAACCGTTGCGGTGTTTTATTTAAATCTACTAATATTTGTCAGTATAAGGAAAGACGCAACACGTAGAATTAATTACTAATTCATGAGTAGCAAGAAAACGCTAAACTTGAAAGCGTGGGAAGGACGTGTAAACAATGCACCTTCTATACATAGAGTGTATAGGGAAATGAACATTATAAGTGTTTAGCGTAATTACTCTATCTCCCCTGTAATTATAATAAACGACAATTTCATATTTCGGCAGGCAATTACCAAAAAAAGCTTTTAAAATAAAAAATACCTTAAAAAACTTATTTATTTCACTGTAGTATATATAAATGAAGAAAATACTTTGGTGCGGGACAGACAATCGATGCGTTTATTTATATTAGAAAAAGTTTTTTCAAAACGTGTTGCGCAGTTTTTGCGAGAAAAGTTACCAAACAACCTTAAAACCATATTTGACATAGAAAAATATGGAGAATTCGTTATTAGCTCCTGAAATTATATGGAGAGTAAATTTTTACTTATATGTAATATTGCAATCTTTAAATTTACTTGTAAAAGTTTAATCAAACATCGCCATTACAAAATTTCTGATATTATGTGAGATAAACACGCAACTACATAATGTTTTATTATTACACAGTCGAGTTGTAAATTAATTAAATTATGAGTTACGTATAAAATGGATATTGTATAATATCAATTAGTTGACTATAAAAGAATAAAATCTAAGTTAAACACTTTCAACGGTTTAAAACGCGCAAAATAATAGTTAACTACAGCCCCCCGTGACAACAATTTCAAACGTGCAAAGCATCCGAAACTGTGGCTAATCCCGCTGTGGTAAAATATAAATAAGTTAAGTAATATATTTCGATTTTAAAACCGTTGAAAGTCTTTTATTTTAGTAAGTACTGTATTTGTTTGCCTGTTTCTACATGAGAAGGTTAAATCATGGATAAAATTTCCACTAAATGTTTTACATTTATAAATTTCCCATTTACGTAAAAAAATGTTTTTTTTTCATTCTCGTTTGACTCTACAAGTATGCAGTAGATATTGTATTTTTATCTATCTTAAGAGACGCAGTTGATTGCTATATCGATTTTAAGTAAGTGAATCCCGTTTCCCCCTCGTGGGGCATGGGGCGAACACATTTTTGTGTTCAGTGTCAGGCGAGTAGTTAATCAGACCCTTTGTTTCCCTGGTATTCGAACCCAGGACCTCTCCCGCTTAACACGTTCAACCATTTGGCTACAGAGGCGTATCAGCATATCGATTATCATCAATAAAACTTATAACTAATTGTTAATTGAGGACGAATTTGCATCACAGATATTAATAAATGGTATAAAACACTATCAAGATCAACTAGCCTTATAAATCAAGTGGTAGCAATGTCTTATGTAAAGCATGCTGTCTGCCTTCAAAACCCACCATGCGCCTACAAATACATAAAACGACTATGTTTGTAACTGTCCCACAAACTTATTGTGTAGTTGGAAATTCTAATAATATTTTGAAAGTCACTTTCAATTAATTATAAGTGAGATAGTATTTTTAAGTTTATATTACATATAGTTTGTCGCTTAATAGTACACATTTAAATAAAACACTATTAACGGTTTAAAACGCGAATACGCGGTTTTGGTCACGGGGGACGACACAAAGCGTTAGAAATCTAGGACTTTTTTTACATAAATTGTAAATAAGTTAACTAATACATTTCGCATTTTAAAACTGTATCTGTTTTTATGATAGTAAAGCAAAGACAAGTATGGGGTTAACTTAATATAAGCCAGCCACACAACACATCAACAAAATGCGCTGTCGACCTATTGGGGCTTTGCATATTCGATTTTTATTTAAATCCATAGACTGAACCCGAAACGCGATTAAACTGGACGGCTTTTTATCTGTGTGCGGGAGTTTGTGACCCTGATGGAATTTCGATATTCTTAGCACCCAGTAATATCCAGATCGAGTCTATCAGGTTTCAGAAAAAAAAATTAATTAGAAAATTATTGGAACCGGGATCTGTTAAATAAAATGTTGGGCACATTGCTACTTTACAACGAGTAAAATATATCTGTTATATTGCTAATAT